CGCTGCCGGCGCCGCGCGAGTCGACGAGAGAGCCTGATTTATTCGAGCGCAGTGAAAATCTTTTATTCCTCAATTATCGCCGCGCGAAAATATTTTAATCCGCGCCACGGAGTTTAATTTTCGCTCCATTTCCGCTGCTGTAATTTCCACGGCTCTATCTCCACCTCTGAAAATATTTTTCCTACTCCTCTCCCCCGGATGCCTCGTGTCCTTTCGATCCGACGCATTATTCTCATACGACTTTATTGAATTTATTATCCCGGCTCATCATTACTCGCTGCATTATCGGCATCGTTTTTGCCATTTAATCGAATCTGCCTTCACCCTCACCCTCTCTCTCTCTCTCTCTCTCTCTCTTCCCCTCTTGCTTATTTTTGACGTCGCAATATCGGAGGCTGCGCGCCGCGCCGCGCTGCGGCACGCCTAAACCAGAGGAGGTAATTTTCTGTAAGGCGCGAAGTAAAAGCGCGCGCACTCATAAATCTGATTTACACCATTATCGGAAGCCGCTAGCCGCGGAGGGATTGGCGATATCAGCATCCACAAGAGCGCGATTGCCGCGTACACAAAAACAAGTAAAACACCATTTTCTGCTCTCTTAGGCGTGTCCACCGCGATCCGGACGTTTGCCCGCAAACAATCGACCTCGCAGGAAGAATCGGGCAAATGTTGCTCGCCGATCTGGAATACCAATCGAAGCGATAGCAGTGAACCGCGCTCGCGAAAACGCCTAAAATCCGAGGGAACGCTAAACGAGAAACACGAACTGCGCTCGGCCGGAGATTTATACACGACCGAATTTTCCTCCCGCGGACGTAATTCACTCCTCGCTCTCGCGGAATAATGACCGTGAAAGTTTCCCATGGCGGTGCGGGAGAATTTCCGGATTTTCCGGGAGAAGAGAAAAAAGAGGAAAGAAAATATTAGCACGAGAGCGAGGAACTCGGCGGCGCGTACGTTCTTCCTAAGTCCTTTATTCAGCGTACTAAAAAATTTCTAAAATCGCAGCTGTGCCACTCCGCCGTCGTATTGCGACGCGGAAGCAGGTGTTGTCACTTTTGCAGACAGAGAGGAGAGGAACACTCGGAGGAGGAAGAGGCGATTGTTGCTGCGAAACGAAGTGATTTACATAGAGTTCGAATTGGCGGTAAATGACTGCCGCTCGACAGTCGTATTATCGGAGAGCGAGAATCGCGTTGTATGTATCGCGTTCGCGTTGTAGAGTATCGCGTTATTGGTAACAAAACACGTAATTCAGATATACTCGCCTTCCGCTTTAATATCGTAATTACTGCCTTCATGTACACCCCGTGGCCCCCTCTCAGATCCCGAACTAAAACTCCGGCAAATAAAACGAACGGGGTACGCCGTTAGCGCCGCTCTGATTTCGGTGTTGATATTCAACAGGACCGGGCTAGTTCAACACTTCCATCGAGTTCCTCGCTCGCACTTATTCCCGGCTCGCCTCGGTCAAATTTTAATCTAAAGTTCTGCCAGTATTTGTACGCGCGCGCCCGGTTTATCGTTCTGTGTCACGGTCAATAGAAAGTTCGGCCGAATAATACGCAACGATTGCCATAAATCCGACGGGGATGACGGTGTATATGCGGAACACGATGGCGACGCTAACCCGAGGTGACACTGATCCCTATCGTGAATCCGAATAGAAAATATAAAAAGTGATACATACGACGAAAGAATTTACTGCCTCGGCCTAGGGCACGGGCTTAAACTGTCGCTCTCTAATAGCCGTTCTTCTCGTCCGCCGCGTTCTCGATCCCGGTTGCTCCGATAAATCGATCTCGCGCCGCCCGAAAATCGCCTCGAGCCGATTTAATCGTGTTCGAAACGACGTTGCGGAAAAACTCACGGACGGCCGATCAATTTACCGACGACTTTATCTCTCTCACCGGCGTTCTCTCTCAATAATCTTTTTTCTTATGATAATACACTTGGCCAAATGCGGCTGATTTGATTTCGCCTCCGCGGAGACCGCGAACTACGATCCCTTGCACCGACGACGACATTATATCACTCCGAATGATTTATTCCAGCTATCGCTCCGAATCGCGACTCGCTCTCCCCTCCTCTTTCGACCCTCCCCCTCTCTCTCTCTCTCTCTCTCTCTATCTCTCAATCTCTCAATCTCCGTCGACCTCTTTCATAATGCGAAGAATAATTTCAGCAAATAATATCGCGGACAGACATATGTCCGTTTTATGAGTGACCGGCATTGTGCGGAAATGGATTAAATCCGGGTATCAGGTAAATCGCGCATTAAACATCATTCTGTAGCATTGGAATACAATTGCTCTAACGTTTCGCGATGGTGAATCCGTGCGATCGCATCGACGAGCAATATTTAGGATCTCATAAGGGAACACTGAAATCGGAAATTCAGCGGGGGAGGAGTACGTGTGTATGTGTGCAGATACGTGCTTAATATTCGTAACGCTTGTCGAAGCCGAAACTCCCCTGAAAAGTCCTCCCGAAAATACGTTCATTTGGCGAAAGAGATCACTCACGAGTAAAAAAATGTTCATTAAGCAAAAGCGAGGAATACTCGTTCAATAATATCTGATATTCCCTTCAACTGGAAATTTATGTACATATATATACATATATATGCATATATGCCCGTAACATACAATAAAGATCATTTCTGTTTGATGATGAAAGTAATTTTTAAATTCTTTGTCATTAATCTCTCTCGAGATGTATTTCCCAAGCTTCTATTTATCTAGATGGATACCACGTATTTTTCCCTTCCAAGCCTGACAAGTTATGAACGAATGCGCTTTTAATGTTCGGTAACAGGTACGTTTCGCATATCGCACGAAGGTCATCGTCCAGAATTCATCTTGCTTTAACAAAGACGATAGGGTGGATTTAATTCTTGAGTTATAAAAGAGGTTATGAGAGAGAATTTTGACGAGTTATACTCCTACGCGAAGTAGTGATAAAATCTCGCTCACCGAGTAATTTCAAATTTGTTTTAGTAGAATTTTAATTTATAGAGTAAGAGTTACTGAGATATTTAATGTTATAATACTTCAGGAATTAATATCGCAGAAATTGTAAGGAGAGATGGCATGTAATTAAATTGTCGTGAAAGAAAGAATCATCTCGCGTCTTTTGATAAGGAATTACAGTTCACCCTGTATAAAACATTAATACATTGCTTAAATCTGCTTGTCCTTTTTCGTTCTTTCTTTTTCTCTTGTTTTATGTCGGCAATAAATTTGCGCGGGGAAATTTGTCTGCGATTTATGAATTCGCTGAAGTCATTAGCCGCGTTATCAAATGTATTCGTTCGTGGAGCTCGCTCCGTAAAAGCACACGCATACGCGCGTCTTTATTTCTCGCGCACTCTCCTGTGTCTTTTCACTCTTGTCGTGCGAGGAACATTGGTCGGTACGCGGGTCGTATAATGGCAGGAGAAATAAAATGTCTGAGATATAACACACACGTAATATGATATATCGCGCAACATCTCACACTTTACGTAAAATGCCCCAAAATGTCCTTTTAATAATATCGTTTACGCTAACGTGTCGCGGTAAACATTGCTTTACTATATGTGTATACTCCCGCCGACGACTGCTTTTATTTAAAAGAGATCGCCACCGCCGCCGGCACCGTCGCCGCCTGATGTTCCGCGTCGTGAGACAACCGTTCTCGCGTAAAGCAAACGCAATTGCACCGCAATCGCACTCGACGCGGCTACCGCTCTTCCCTCGTTTTTTTTCGATCTTACACGAGAATACACACAGCGTTTTAGATTACGTGAAGCACTCGCGCCTGTTGACAATCAGTCGTGTTTTTTAGATCTCATTCACTCCACCTCATTACCGGAAGTGTTCGAGTCCTCGTCACTATTACGTCACCATTTAACGGGAAAAAGAGAGAAATAGAGAGACAGAATTTTTTTCGTACAATTTAAAGATAAATTACAATACTGCAACTTTACGAAACTCGAAACTTTTTTTTTAATGGAACAATTATCGAGGAATGTATTATATACCTCGCGAAAAAAGTGTAGCATTATACTGGCGAGAGTGTGACACGACGCGCCATACGCGCGTGAATCCCGCTTTTAACGCTCCTCCGATCACACACTTTTTCCTCCGTCTCTCTGTGATTGGGCTCGCGGACTTTGCACGGTTTTCTCTTCACAGCGAAACGACACCCGCTCCGTCCGAGGGACTCGCGAACGAAGCTATACCTCCGCCGGTGGACGCATCCCCGGGCGTCGGGACGCGTGTACTGACTGCGTCGAGCTGGCCGCGTCGTCGAGCGAGTCGAGAGAGCGGCGTCGGGACGCTCACCGTGACGGGACGCTCGACTCGCATAGCGCAGGTCCGCAGGCCCGCAGGACTATACGGTGTCGCTTTTCTTCTTTCCACCCCTTCTGTACCGAGCCTCTCTGTGCTCCTCACCTTATCTCTCACGCTTTCTATCTCTCTCTCTCTCTCTCTCTCTCTCTCTCTCTGCCTCCCTCTTCGCTCTCCTTCTCACCCTCTCGTTCGCGTCGTTGGATATAATATTCAATTTATTATGTACCTCTGATACATGCGGACCGCCGCGCCGGAAAAGTGGGAGACGCGAATGCACGGCAAGCCGTGGCTGTGCCGGTCCTCCGGCGAAAAATAAAATGCCGAGAAATATGAGGGACGCGGGGGAGAGAAAGAGCGAGAGGGTGAGCGTCAGTAGGTAGACAAGGAGACGAGGTCCGGGCGAGTGTAGACGGTCGAGGCGATGGAGGAGAACGCTCGGAATCGGCAGCGTTCCGCTCGAGGGTGAATTGTCGAGATATTGTCGATCGGGCAGCTCGCCTCGCGATAAAGCGCTTCGGTCAAAACGTCCTCCTTTTTGGTGCTCGACCGGCTGACGAGCGGGAAAAAGAGAGCCCGAGACTGAAGTGCCGATCGCTATGTCAAAGACGAGGGAATGAGGAAAAAGCACGATGACGACGGCGAGACGGCCGTGGCGGCGGTGGCGGTAGCGGCGGTGTTGGCGAAAGAGGGAGGACAAACTCCCGTCGAGGGATGAAAACGGACGCGGTTGTGCGGGTAAGCGCGCTCGCGCTTTCGTCCTCGCTTTTTCGCTAATTGTCGACGGACGAGCCGCCGTTAATGCGCGAGTTTAATCCCGGGAAATTGCACGATGATTCCATGCGCGGGATTGATAAATCTGGCGAGGTTTGACGATGATTGAAGGGACGATCGAAAAGCGGGGTTGCGACGTCGCGCGGTAGAAAGCGTGTCAATCTGATAATTGAGACTCGCACGAGGTGCTCTCCGTCTCAAATTGATGATATCTTCAAGCGCTCGGAGGGGCGGGCAGTAGGGATGAATCGTATCGCGGAAGAGAAAGCGCTGTCTCTCTGTCTAAGCGGATAATATAATCGTATAATATTCTATCTGCTAATTTTAAGATACGCTGCGTCGCGTCGCGAAACGTAAGGCGAGATGGTTTGTGCATCGCGAGAGCTCACCTTCACCTCTCTGCCGGCATCGTAATGAAAATTTCACTGTAACTCCGGCGAATTGGAAATTTGTTTAGCGGGAATTAAACACCGCCATGAAAATATGCCAAATAGGGGCGAAGTTAAAGGTAATATAATTAGCTACCCGTCCAGCTTATTAAAAGTTACCTTAAGAAGCTGCCAAGACATCGAGATACTTACTTTCAATTCACGAGACAGCCGCCGCGCCGAGAGATTGTTTTCAGTCGAAATTCTTCAAGCAGGAGGATAAACGTATTTCACTTCGGAATATCGGACTTGTATTTCTTCAGGGGCACGAGCGTATTTTCCGGACAATCTCATGTAAAGTTAAATGGTCGTCTCAGTGAAATATCCATTTTTCTCCGTCATAAATTATATATCGCTTACCACGCGATGCTCCCTCGAGCCCTTTGAATATGTATCATGAAACCTTGCAAAAAAAGATATTTCACTAAATGCCCTACATCATTTCTATCGTGAAACATTAAAGTTTTTTAATATTTCGTGCCTCTTGGAATGAATCGGAATGTGAAAAAATATGTCTTACACTGCTATCGATATTTCGAAACGCATCACGCTTTATTCATCAGTTTTTCAGTGACAGATTTGATCGTTCACTATTGTCAAAGTCAGCGTTGACATCTTACACACGCTATTTTGCGTTTGGGCGAAAATCAGCAAAGTTGAACGAGACTTTTAAATCTCTACCAAGGTACACTCTCTCTCGAGTCTTGGTTGCTAAACGACACAGGGTAGCATTATGAGCCAATTAAGTCGCGTCTACGATAATGAAATTATGAGACGCGGATCAGCGGAAAGTGCCAAGGTGTTACTCGCTGCGGCGGGTACTCATCGGTTGAAGCACGAGCCTTGGCGCGAGCCGTATGAAAAATCGCGAAAATTTTTTCTAATATCGTACACGAGGTGTGCGAGCCTGGCGTTGGTATAAAGACGCGCACTTGCGAGGCGTAAGGTCGGAATTTATGAGAGGGGAACATTCCCGGGGATAGCGCGGCGGCCTCCTCGGGCGGCTCCTCAATTATGACAGTGAGAAAAAGTACACATTAAGGGGATTGCCCAGAGGCGGCTGAAGCAAGCACATGCATAGCGCGGTACAAAATTGCCGCTTAAGCTGCAGTGGGCGGTGATAAATGTAGAAAGGTTAGGAACGCGTTTTGACGCGAAAGAAAAAAGGGAGAAAAAAATGTGTGCGAAAAGGAAGGGGAGAGCAAAAGAGAGAGAGAGAAAAAGAGAGGAGGAGAAGGAGGGAGAGAAGGAAGTGGTTTCGCCGCGAAGCTCGATGTGCTTATTAAAAGAAAGGCTGGCTGATGAAGTGCAAGCTGAGCATCCCTCCTGCTTCTCACAAACCCTTGCACGTCGGGTTGGTTCGTGATGAAGGGACGCAACGAGATTAACCGTATTCATTTGCGATGCTCGTTTCCCCCGCTCGCGGGCGCGGAGGAGGCTGAGGATTTTTTTAGGTCGCGCTCCTCAATCATAAATCCATTAAAAATCCAACAACCAGCGGATAAATATATATATATATATATATATATATATATATATATATATATATGTA